GGTGGAGCTACCAGTCCTCAGGTCCCTGATGTGGGTAGGTGAGGAGCCTGCTTAATGGGCAGAGCGGTGTCAAATGTCACGAACCTACCACTTCACCATATAGCTGATACAGTTGAAGTTAGGCTTCAGGTATATACTGTGTTGTACTGTGGTAATGAGAGCCTACGCTGTTGAAATGGGCCCACACAAGTCTATGCAGGGGTGAAAGGCATTCAAAGTCCGTGGACCCCTTATGCCTGTGCCTAGGCAAAGGAGCTGTGCCTACCCTTAGTTCGCAGCTTAGGGGAGCTGCCAGATTATTTTTTCCTGTTTGTTAATTTGTTCCCTCTCCAAGGCTGGGAGAATGGTTCAGGGTACCTGACAGGTCCTACTTCCGGCCCAGGGGACTGAGCATTTGCTGAAGCCAGCTCAGCCCTGGTGCAGAGCGGGGAAGGGGCAGGTTAATGGGAGAGAAGTTTTTTCCAAAGGGGGTGGTTTTTGATCCGCGCAGTTGGTCAGACGCATGTACTTAATCTTTTGCCGTTTGAGTGCTGCTTTTCACTGGTTCTGGAGGCATGAGTAAACTCTCTGCTGCTGGGTCTCTCCCGATGTGGAAAACGCCTCCCAAGTGCCACTGCTTGCCTCACCGCGCACACCAGCCAATTCCTGTCTGAAGGGTGCTGGCTCCCGCTGGGTCAGGTCTGGCAGCTTCTTACTGCTTCCAAACCGTCTCTCCCTCCCCCTGCCACTCAGTCTGATTCCTCAACTTTGCCTTTGATGTTCAAGGCTCCTAGACTGTCATATATAATTGATTCACTTGTTTTTTTCGGGTCTTTGTTGTAAGAGGGACCACAGGAAGCATCTGACTACTTCGCCATCTTGGCCCTGCCTCTCATGATCCCTGTTTTCAGATGAGGAAACTGAGGCCCAAGGATAAAGTGACTTGCCCAAAGCCACTTACTAAGAAGTGGTAGAGCCAGAACTAGAACCAACTCCCAGCCAGAGTTAGCCTCCTGATTTGAGGAGCCCCAGGAAGCCCCAAATTTTCCTTCCACCACCACTCCTTACCCCTTCAATGGTGCTTTTATTTCTCCCCAGCAGAATGTCCACCTTTGACATTGAAGGCTTCTTTTAAGACACATTTATTGTGGGAGAGGCTTATCATGTTCATGGCCTGGGTATCCAGGTACCAGAAAAGAGTAAGTTCCCCAGATTTGGAAGTGGGAGAATATAATGGGAGAGCTGGGTGAGTTTAACCAGGCAGTCTGAGAGCTGCTGGCCTGCTGCCATCCTTGACACCCAGACTGTAGTAAAGCCATTTATGTCCTTCAGCCCAGAACAGTGGTCACCCCACTGTTCATTGGAAAGGTTCTAAAAGATCAGCTTGCTGGTATCCAGGAGGAATAAGGTCAGATTCTTCATTCAGGCATCAGGGACTCCCTTCAGCAGGCATCAACCCATCTTTCCAGATTTGTTCTCCATACCCTGCTGTCTAGCCAGGCCCATCCCGTTTCTTTCTCCAGCATAGACATTCTTTCTTCACATCTTTGCTCAAGCTAAGCCTCAGCTTGGAACCCCCTCACTCATTTTCTTATGGTCGAATTCCACCTTCATAGTTTCTCAAGTCCCTCTTCTTCAAAATACCCTTCCCCATATATGACACTCACAGTCTAGACTCCAAGGTCCCTGCAGCCTTTCCGGCTTTGATGGTTCTGCTTCCATGTGGGCTCCTCCCTGCCTCCCCAGGAAGGCTTCTGGCTCCTGCAGAGTACAGACAATGTTGATGATTCACTGTGCCCCCAGAGCACCCAGCGGGAGCACGAGAGTGCTTCAGGTGAGCCGTTAGTGCACGTGTAGGTGTCCCTGCTCTGGGCATGTTCACCTCTGACCATCCCCTCCAGGATGGTATGTTATGGGGTAACAACCCTGATGAGGAAAGAACCAGTACTACTAGTCAAGGTGTTTTTTCACTACTAGTCAAGATGTTTTTTAAACCCTGTTGAGGTCAACCAGGAGGGACCAGTCCCTGGAGAAGGACATCATGCTTGGTAAAGTGGAGGGTCAGAAAAAAAGAGGAAGACTCTCACATGAGATGGATTGACACAGTGGCTGCAACAGTGGGCTCAAGCATAACAATTGTGAGGATGGCGCAGGACAGGGCTGTGCTTCATTCTGTTGTACATAGGGTCACTATGAGTCAGAACCAACTCTATGGCACCTAACAACAATGACAACATTGAGGTCAATGAAAGCCAAATGCTGCTGAGTGTGTGTTCTCTGTCCTTCCATACCGCTGCCCTGCTCTGTACATCCAGAGCTAAGCTAAGCCCTGTCCTTGTTTTGGTCCCTGTGCCTGGGCCATGCAGATAAGGCCTCCTAGGTCACTGGGTCTAGGTGTGGGTGCTGGGAGGTTGGCTGAACCAACCCCACTCAATTCAGCTCCAGTACAGATGTTTGCCCTACCAGCAGGTAAATGTCCCAGGGGCAGGACTGTGCTCATGCTGTTCCCCCTACATGGAATGGCCTCATACCCACCCCCAGCTCTGTTGAAATCCTGCCATCTTGGATCTTACCTCTGTTTGACACATCCCCTGACCTTCCCAGCTGTTATTAATTGCTTCTTTCTTAGTGCTCCCAAGCTCTTAGCCTCATCTTTGACAGTTGAATAGATCAGTGTCTGTCTCCCCTCTAGCTTGAGCAGCCCCATGAGTACAGGAACCATATCTGTCTGTTGTCTGTAGGAGCTGATATAGTTAAGTAGATCTTAGGCTCCTGAAAGTTCCAATGAATCACTGACAGAGGTCTATTTATGGTCATTTCTAAGCCATAGTGGACAAGACCCATCTGAGCCTCTCCAAAATAAAGACTCGTTTTCTTCTGACACTGAGGAAACAGAAGCCTGGTTATAGGACTTAAGGTAGAAGACCATGTTCTTAGGCCTGTTTTCCTATCTGGCTTATAGAACAGACATTTCCCTAGTCCCTCTTTACTGTAGGAGAAAAAGAAATAGAAAGTAGGATATGGCTGTGACCCAGAAAGTCCATCTGCAGTACAGCCGGGGGCTGGAATGGGACTCAATGTCACCTTTAAATCCCAAATCACTCAGGAAACAATACTCTTGACTGTTGGGAGTTGCTAGGGGTATACAGAGGCTAAAAGTGCTGTAGAGACCTGAGAGAATTTGACCTCACCAACCACTAGTTCTAGAATGAGTGAATGTTTGCTGCAAAAGCCAGTCACCTCCCTGCCCCACCCCCAGGTCAGCCTACTTATCCTGGTCACTGTGGCTGACCTAGCAACTACCAAGCTCCTGTCTTGGGTCCAGTTGGGGACACAGGCATCAGACTCACTCCATGCCCTGCAGGAGCACACAGTGTGGGTAGGGAGGGCAACAGGCAGCCTGGTCCACAGACCTCCCCTGGCCTAAAGCATAATGGGGTTCAGGTACCTCCCATACTTTGGAAGGAAGGGCTGTAAACACCAGTAAAGGGTGGGTTTCCCTCTCCCCTTTTATTCTGGGCCTGCCTAGAGGACAGGGAGATGTATCTGCTGTGCATGCCCAGCCCTACCACTGCTTTGCTCTTGGTTATAAGAAAACCCTACCCATGGGTTGACAGCACTTAGCGCGCTTTCAGTTGTATACACTCCCTTGGCATTTAGAATTCCAGATTGGCAGGGATCCTCAAGGTTGCCCCCCCTCCCCTTCATACCTAGTCATGCCTAGTCAGTAGAGCAGGCATACCCAACTCCTACTCCCTTTACCACATTCTAGCTGGTACTTTAATTCTTTGGGTAGGTCTCTGTCTCCCCAGCTTACCTCTGAGCTCCTGGAGGTCAGAAATTGAGTTGTGTTCATTTCTGTCTCCCTCTCACAGTAGGCATTACAAAAGGTTAAAGAAGGAAGATGGAATTACTACTAAATGTAACTGATCCCAAAAGCAAGTCCAGTCCTTTTCCCTAGCTGGGCCTCAGCTTCTCATTAGCAGAATCGCAGGGGGCAGGGGTAGTATTAGTCTCAACCTCTAGGATCTCTACCAATTTGATTCTCAATGCCCAGAGAGTAGTACAGACAGTGTGCTCTCAGTGCTGTATCAGCTTGTGAAGATCTCAGCTCATGGGGTTTGGGGGCAGGGAAGAGATATCTATCTACAGCGCTGGCAGTGTAGCTGTGAAGTCAGCCAGCTTCGCCTGGGCGGCCCCTCCCATCTCCTTTCAGCACTGTCTCAGTCAGGCCTCCACCTCTTCCGCAGGGCGTTACTCTCAGCCAGCTGTCTGAGTGGCTTTCTGGTGTAGTTTCAAGCTCCTTCAGGGTGGGAACCTGGCACAGAATAAGTACACAATAAAAGGTTGACTGAGTAAATGAGTGAGCCACAGAGTAGTCCCACGGACCCTTGATGCCATAACCCAAAGGCAAGCACCTGAAAGGTGGAATTAGTGATGCCCTGTTGGCCTGTGACAGAGATGTTTGGTAGCAGGGCATTGGGTATTTGCTTGTGGCCTCATGTCCCTGGCAGCTCTGGAACACCAAAGCTTTAGGAATAATACAGAGGGTGTATTATTCAACATCTTCTTTATGGGAGTTGGATATATTCCCTGGGTCACACATGGGACAGTCACAACTCAGAGGACAAATGACTTGTCTAGAATCATACAGCAAGAGAAGGAATGAGACTTCAAACCTGTCCTGGAGGTGACTGTCCTGTCCTTCTCCAGAGGCAGCATCATAGGATGGAAAGAGTCGAGCTTTGGAGCCAGACAGCCACAGTTCATAGCTCTGCCACTCAGAGCTGTGGGACCTTGACTTTAACATGAGCTGCAGTTTCCTCATCCATGTCATGGGGAGAATGATATACACACCTCATGGGGTCAAAGTGAGAGTGAAACAGGTATGTAAAGTACTTTGTAAACCAGTCAGCTCTACATATACATTAGTCAGAGGACCAAAAGATGAGAGGAATTGAAATCATCTCTTGGTAGTGCCGTATCCTCAGTGCTAACCAAGCTGACTTCTTCCACTCCAGGACAAGAGTGAGACCACCAGTGGAGCCCTGTCCCAAAGGCCCTGTCGCCCCAGACTTAACTTGCTTCCTCCCAATCTGCCTGAAGAAGAAACTCGAAGGATTGCACGGATATTCTCTTCCCAATACTCCCAGAAAGATTAATATAACCTTCTGAGAGATTGAGGGAAGGAGCCACTGCCCACTCTCCCTCAGCCTTGCCCAGCTTGTGGGAGACCCCAGGGCTGTCATAGCCCTGAAACCACTATCAGCCTACTCCACGGGCAACTTAAGCCCCAGTCAGCCCAGACTGGAGGAACTTTACAGTCTAGCCCCATGTTCACCTGCTAGGACTTCCGCCTTTTCCTTCCATGGCGAGGCAAAGGCTAGAAACAAAACGGATTCCAGAACTCAAATGGCCCACTCATCTGACCAGAGGACCAAAGCAGGCATCTTTCTGCTGAGAAACTCCTCCTCCCAGTATCCTTGATGCAGCCCACCCTCCACCTGAGATTGATGAGCCACTTTTGCCTTAAAGGTTGGGGTAATGGGGCAAGTTTGTATATTGTGTGCATCATGTGTAGCTGAGGAAATCCTAGGGCCACCTCCAGTTCATTGCTTGGGAATAAGGATTTTTATAGATATAAATTGTTTTTATGCTGTATTGAATTAATCACCTCCTTCAAGTTTTTATCTGATTGTCTGAAATTCTAACCATGCTTTTAACTTATTGTTTTAACCCAGCTCTGAGGATCATTGTTCCTGCCTGTGTTTGAATAAAATCATATTAGTCTTTGTATTCTGCGCACAAGTGTTTCCTGGGTTGGCCCCTGGGAATGCGGGTAAATTTGTTTGTATTCCAACTACCAGAGAGAAAACTTGACAGCCTTACATTTTCTTGGAGAAGCTCATCCAGAACAGGGCACCAAGATGATCATGAGACTTCAGCGCTTTCCCAAAGATCAGGTTGGCCCGGATTAGGGTGACAACCAGCATTTGCTCTGCTAGTGCTTACAGTCAGCAAAGTGGAGGGAACAGGTCTCCTCAGAATCCTCCATCTCTGGAATGGGTAGGCCTAGCTTAAACTGTCAGTCACATACATTTGAGCAGCTACCATAGACAAGGCCCTGTGGGGAGTATAAGAAAAGAGCAAATATGGGCCCTGCCTACTAGGAGTGTTCAGTGTGGTGGAGAGAGAGATGGAAACGAACGAACACGAGGCGCCCTGCTTCCCACCCCCAACCACACATTTCATTTAGTCCTCAAAACAACTCTATATCCTGGACATTATGATTCCCATTTTATAGTTAAAGAAGCAGAAGCTCAAATAAGTAATTTACCTCTATGTAGCTAGAAGGTGAATTGCCACACAAGTCATCTCCAGAGATGTCGCAAGACTGCTGTGCTCAGTGACCAAAACAAGGTACAGACAGTAAGTGCTCTGAATTCGGGGAAAGGAAAGACCATGTGAACTGGAGCAGTCAGGGAAGGTTTGCTAGACGAGACAAGTCTTGGGGTGAGCCCAGAAAACTGGCCCGATTGTGGTCAGCTGTCGAGAGAGAACTTGTAGGGCTCTCTGCATCTGCCAGTCTGGCTCTGCCACCTCCTTGATATGTCCCCTCAGGCTTGACTCTACCTCTGTCTGAATCTCCATTGCCTCATCTGTAAAACAGAGATAATAACCCCAACTTCATAGTGTTGTTGTGAAAATTAAATGAGATGACATTTGTAAAAGTGCTTCGCCTGTGCTTGGCACACAGTGGAAGACATTGAGAAATGTCAGCCCCGCCCACTCCTCCCCCACTCTTCTGGAGTTCTCGGAGATAGGCAAGCACACAGTTAACTGTAAAAAAAGGCAGAGGGCACAAAGTGGTCCAGGAAACTTGAGAAGGGATGCCCTCCTTATTGGTGATTCGCCCTCAGACTTGCTCATACCCACGTGCCCCTCTTTCTGATCTGTTTATCTCGGCTCCTGAAGCTTCAGCCTGCTAGCTCACCCTCCCCTCCCCAGAGCCACAGAGGCCAGCCTCCCTCTTACATTGCCAGCCCAGAGTTTTCAAGGACAAGGGACCGGTCACCTCCCATGAGGCCATGAAGAACCTATAGAGGGGCAATTGGGGGCCTGGGCCTGAGGGGTAAAGCCTGAGGTGAAAAATATTACTCTCAAATCCTGCTATAGCTCCTGTAAATAACCTGATCAGGGTCATTAGGATAAGGCCACAGGAGGACATGGGCTGCTTCTGCCCCAGGCTTCGGGCAGCCTCAGATGACACAAAAGCACCCTGAGAGTCTGAAACCCACCTCCTACTATAAGCTTACAAAGAGTGTATTCTATACAAGTTATCTTATCTCTGGAAGTTGAATATTTCCCAGTCACAGCTCAGAGGTGAAATGACTTGCCTAGTCATGCAGCGTGGGTTAAAGGTGTGAAGTAGAAGTTTGCTTCCACCAACACAACTAGCCATTGTCACCCCTCCTTCCCTTTGAGCACTCCTCTACAGACACCTGAAAGTAGCTGTTGTTGATCATCAGAGGCTGGTTGCCTCCCAGCCCATAGCAGCCAAAGTTGGAACTTCTGAGCATGAGCTGGGTTCTGGGGACAGAGAGCCAAAACAAACAGAGTTGGCCCTGCCCTCAGAAGCTTCCAGGCTGCAGTAAGCTGAGCCCTCCCTCACTCTGGGTTTCTGTAGGGCCTGAACCTTCCACTTCTATGGATATGGCGGGGAGAGGGTTTAGGGTAATAGAGCATTCTAGCAGAGGAACAACAGAAGCAAAGGCTCAGAGGCCACAAACCACTTGATAAGCAGGCCTTAGAGCTTGGGCTTCTTGACTGGTGGCCATGGAACCCCCCACCCACCCCAAAGACCTACCTACCATTTGCCAGCCCATCTGGTGGGGCCCCAGTGGGGGGTAAGGATGGGGAAGACATCTTGCTGCTTCTGCAGCCAAAGAAAGATCCCAAAATATAGGAAAGAGCATTTATCCCTCAGCTGCCCAGAGCCACAGTGACTTCAATTAATGACTGCCCCACAGTACAGAGACCAGGGCACAACAGCACAACCCCAGAGCCAGGCAGTCGGGGTTTCAGTCCTGTCTCCATTTCTCAGTAGTTGAGGGCTTTTGAGCAAATTACTATATTCTCACGGTTCAGCACCCATAAAAGACCTGTAAAAGGTGTTTGTGAGGATTAAATAAGCAATGGGTCTCAAGTTCCCCGTGCATGCAAATCACAGATTCCTAGGCCCCATCCCCAGAGATTCTGATTTGGTAGGTCAGGATGGAAGCGTATGAATTTGCATTTCTAACAAGCTCCCAGTGACACCAGTGGAATCACTGAAATAAAGTGTGTAAAACACCCAGCACCTCACACATAGCAGCTGCTCAGTCAATGGTCGGGCCTTTCTCTCTTTCCTTGTCATTGCTCACAGGACAAAACCTCGGTGCCTAAACCCAGCATTTAGTGCCTGGCTCTATACTGTCTCTCCAATCCTCTTCCCACTAGTCAGGCCAGTACTTCATATGACAGTTGCTGCCCCCTTTTTTGGGTTCCTACCGCTTATCCCTGCGTCACATCTGCCTGTCCTCGTCCCCCTACAATTTACTCCATCTCCAGATGAGTATTTCCAGGTTAAGCTCGGAGCCCACTTCCTGTGAGGAGCCCTCCCAATCTCAGCAGCCCCAGCAACCACTTTTCCTCAACACTAGTGCAACCGATTGTTCTGCTGACATTTAGGGCAGGGCCTGGTCCAAGGAACAGCCCAAGCACAACCCAGGCTTTGTATTTGAGTGTCTGGACTTCTGACCACCTGCCCTGCGCCCAAAGCCAGAAATGGCCCTACCTACCCTTCCTCTGCCTCCCCCAGTTAACTCCCTCTCCACCCCCTTCCCTCTGTCACCTGGGTCCCAGGTTCCGGCATGCCCAACCCCTACCCTCAATACCTAAGGATGGGGCCTACAGCAGCTGGTCCAGGGGACCCTTCCAAGCCTGCCCTCACACACCCTCCCCCAGCTCCCTTTGGCTCCAGTTGTGTCTGGGTTGAAGCCTCTAGGTGTCATGTCAGAGAGAGTAGTCACAGCAGAGAGGCCCAAAGTACAGGATGCTGGAGCTCAGGCCTTGCCGTGTACTAGCTGTATGACTTGGATAAGTCATTGTCCCTCCCTGAGACTCGGTTTTCTCTGTAAAATTAGCATTAAAATATGTAGAATCCTCAGCAGCACAAAGGAATGAAGTGCTACAACATGGATAAACCTTGAAAACATTATGCTAAGGGAAAGAAGCCAGTCACAAAAGATCACATATTCTATGATTCCATTTATATGGTATATCCAGAACAGGCAAATCTGTAGAGACAGAAAATAGATCAGTGGTTGCCAGGCGCTGAGGGTAGGGGGAATGGGAAGTGCTGCTAATGGGTACAGGATTTCTTTTTGGGGTGATAAAAATGTTCTAAAACTGTGATGATGGTTGCACAACTCAATGAAAGTACTAAAAAACATTGTACATTTAAATAGGTGAATTGCATGGTATGTGAATTACATCTCCATAAAACTTATTTTTAAAAAATTTAGAATCGAATAATACCTACATGGCAGAGCTATGAGAAATGTATATGAAGTATCTATCTAGCACATAGTAGGCACCAAGAAACGACAGTTATTATTGTTATTATTAAGAGGAGGCCCAGAGGGAGCCTTTCTTAGCCTATCATGGGAAGCCTTGGCCTTTGGACTCAAAGGTGACAGGTCCACCCGCTCCCCCATACACTCTTGTCACCCAAGATAACTCTTTCAGCCGCTTGAAGGAGCTATTTTAAAGAGCCCCCAAGTCAGAGGAACTGATACAGATCTGAAACTCACTGACCTTTCCCTGTCATCTCCCTGCCCCTCACAGACGTCTCTTGTAAAGTGATCTAGGCTGTCAACTAGCTTTCCTAGGATAAGGTTTCAGGTCAGCTGGAGTGTATAATGATCAGTGCCAAGCCAGCGGCAGCAGAGGAAACAGTGAATGGCAAGGAGGGACAATCAGATCCCTGCTGCTGCCCTCCCAGGATGGAGCCTTAAGGAGCCCCTGTGTTCCCCCTACCCTGGCTGGACTCACAGGTAAGACCCCACTCTCTTCTCTCTCCCTCTCCCTTCTCCATATTCCCCCTTTCATTGGATGCTTACCAGGAGCACCCAGGAGCTGATGGATCACTAGCTATAGCGGTTCAGAGCTTATAGAGATTTAGTCCAGCCCCTCCTTGTCAGGATGAGGTAACTGCAGCCCTAAAGAGAGAAGTGGTGGCAGGCCTGGGACTCCAACCCAACACCTGTGTGGCTCACTCCAGGCACTTCCCTTCCTCACTCTGCTGGTTGCCTCTGGTATGATTTTAAGGTGACTTTCTCTTTGGGCTGGCCCAGAACCCTCAGGATTCCTCCAGGGCATGATGCCCAGTGACCTCTCCCCATGAGGATCCTGGGGTCCCCTTTCCTAAGTAAAGATGGTGAGACCTGGCCCAAGTTGTATGCTGGGAGGTCTACAGAACCCATGGTGACTCTCTGCCAGGCGGCTTCCTTAGCGGGGTTGCTGTGGAGAAGAGAGTGGGGTCTTGCCTCTGAGTCCAACCAGGAAGAGTTAGGTCAGAGTTGGGGGTGGAGAGCAACATGCCATCAAGCAGGGTGTCTCAGAATGGGATCTTCAGGCCCCTGGCTCAGAACTACCTAGGGAACTTGTTTCTAATGCAGATTCCTAATCCCAGCCCAGACCAGAATTGGGATCTCTAAGGTGAGAATCCACTTTGGGAGCAAGTAGCTTAAGGGATCCTAGGCTCTCACTGAAGTCAGAGACTCACTGGACAGCAGAACAGGCACAGATTCAGGTATCAGACAGACCTGGGCTCCAATCCCAGATCCATCACTTCAGCTGTATGAGGAGCTGAAGCCCTCGAAGCCTCAGGTCCTTGGTTTATGAAGTGGGAGTAATAGCAACTACTAAATAGCCTGATAAAGGGATTGAATTAGTCCATGCCTATAACGCCCTCTGCATAGTGCCTGGTACAGGAAGTGCTTAAAACGTTAACAGGGTACCACTCTACCCTGGGTGGTGCAGGCTGGGCATCCCATCCCTCACGTGCCCCAACAGAGCTGCAGGGTTGAGGATTCCAGTCTCAACCTCTTCCTCTACCTGCCAATGGCAAAGGCCTACTAGCTTCTGGGTTTCCTCAAGTGCCAATTCAGGAGGCCAAAGGGAGAAGAAAGGAGGTTAGAGAGCTCTGGCCTCAGAGGCAGCCCCTGCCTATGCCCACCATTGTGGCTTGTTCCCCCTCCCACTTGACCAGTGAAAGTTAGTTCTAGAGCCTCTCCAGGTGTGGTTTTGACTAGAGTCCAAGCCCATCTACTCTGCCTCCTGTGGTTGGCTCAGGACTGCCCTGGAGGCTCCAACTTCACTTCTGGCCGCTGGTCTTTTTTTTTTTTTTTTTTTAATTTTTTTATTGTACTTCAGGTGAAGGTTTACAGAACAAGTAGATTCTTATGAAACAGTAGTACACATATTGTTTTATGACATTGGTTAACAACCCCACAACATGTCAACCCTCTCCCTTCTCGACCTTTTTT